AAGCCAAAAAACTAAACAAAATAATAATAATAATAAACAATGTATTTAGTAATTTGGTTTTAAAGATAATATTTTTGTTAGATCTTAGATGTTGGTGAGTGGTGATTTAAACTTAATGGATCAATATGCTTTTTTTTTAATGGAATCTATACTCTTTGGAAATTTAGTTTGAGTGAATACTTGAATCGGTGTGTTTGTTTTAATCGAATTTATGAAATCAATATGTTGATTGTTTATTTTAAATTTTAATGGAATCAACACTCTTTAGTTTAATTTATATGTTTGTCCCGTTTTGTCCCGGTCCCGAACTGCTCTGTCCCAGTTCCGAATGATACCGGTCCATTTGGGACGGTGTCTCGTCCCGGACCGGTTAATAAAAGTGGGACAGGTACCGGGACAAGTCAAATCTCGGACCGTTTGAGACCGCGCCCACCCCTACATCTTGCCTTGAAAAATAAAGTCACAAGCAAACAAATGAGAGTATAAGTAAAGATACATAAAATAACTGTAATAGAAAAAATCACGTTAAACATTTGTGATGAAAAAAATAAATTATACAAGCAATCAAGATAAATGAGGAAAATAATAGAGTATAAAAATTGATGTGACATATATAGTTATGTACGTTATAGAGAAAAGATGATTTGAAGAGATCTATGCAAATCCAGCAAAATCTCACAAATTTGATGAGATTCCTACTAAGAAACTGTCTTTCAAATTTTATGAAAAAAAAAGTATCCAAAAGTCTTCCAATTTAAAAAATCTTAGAAAATCTTCATAATTTGAATATAAGATGACCTGTTGAGACTCTTTAGAAAGTTTAATTTCAACTTAATATAGTGAGACTTTTAGAGATTTAAAAAGTCTTTAAAAGTTTCAATTAAATACATGGAGACTTTTTAGAAGTCTAAAAAAGCTTCAATTGAATAAACTATAATTTTGAAAGTCTTAATTGCATACACTCTCCTAATAAGGAAGAACAAATGAAGAAAGGGAAGCTCTAATTCTAAAATTAATCAAAGTGCATCTACCTACAACAACAACAACACACACACCCAGTATCTACCTATATACATTAATTTGGACTAAGAGAAAGAAACAAGTCATGCACTACATCATTGCATACGGAAAATTATTGTCAAGCCAGGAATAATTTGCTCAGAGAACAAAGCTTGCTTTTGTGATTTAAAAAACTTTATGAATCACTGGGACAAATTTGAATCATTGTGATGCCCCCACAGAATCTAAATATACAGAACGCAAATCTAATAAAAATGCTAAAGACAAATTAAGTACTTAAATTATAAGATGTAAAATGCACTCGCCTAAAAATATAGATTGATTTAATTCATTGTAGAATTGAATCAGCATTTCTGCTCTCTGGTACACACAGTGTGGAACCATGCGATGATGAGGTTGGAGGTTATAATTACATTCAACATGAAAATCAATCAATATAAAGGAGATTTGTAAAGGACGAAAATTTTTGTAACTTTATAACTAATTATCGTTCATTGATATTTAATTATGTGCCCCATCCTTTTGATATAGAGAAAACATGCCATGATGTTGAAAATGGGGGATATACTGATGTACACTAAGTGTTAATTTTCCTTTGTAAGATATTAAAAACACATCAATTTGACCTCATGACAGACTGATTCAATATTGGTTCATCAGTGTTCTTAATTGCCCTAATATATATTCAATTGGCTGGCAAAATTTCAAAAATGGTCCATTATGTTAGTCATTTTCCGAAAAAAATCCATCAACTAGGGCGTTATCAAGAATGGTCCACTAAGTTGCTAATTTAATCAAAATTTGTACAATAACCAATATAGTGTACTAAAAGCGATCATTTTAGTTGCCATATTTAGTACACTATGTTGCCTTTTGTACGAGTTTTGATTAAAATGACAACTTAGTGGACCATTCTTGAAGACGCCCTATATGATGGACCATTTTCAGAATATGGCCAACATAGTGTATTAAAAATGAACTTAGCCTCAATTGGCTATATTATGGTTTCAGATCATAAATGATTTGCTTAGAAATTGCACTACTTCACTGTAGATATATGAGATTAATACTTGTTAAGAAATTAATATATGAGATCATAACGTAGCCAACAGTTGCCTCCTTAGTATTACAGTATGAGATATATGAGTTTTTTTCTAACTAGGGTTTCTCAAGGGAGATCTCTAATTATTGTAAATAACAAATTATCCTTAAATCTGTAGTATTCTACAATAGGGAAATGGAAATTATATGTGATGAGTTGTTAATATTCTGAAACATATCTCATTTTCCATTAATTCCAACAAAAATTAAAATCGCCCCCTTTGAGATCCATCCATCCATCCATCGAATGTGTTTTCGTTTGAAGTTCGCAAATGATATCTGCAAAATATTTATATGATATATCTAACATACACCAAGGTTTTACTAAACCGACCACACCTCTTACACACGAAACTTTATTAATTATTATTGAATTTATTCTGCAAATTAATGTACCACAAAAGGAATTAGATAGTCATACAAACTCAAATTTCGAACAAAAATAAACATAGAAGGTACGTGAGCGAATTACCTGACACACGGGATTATCGCAATTTATTATTAAATATTATCATCATACTCATCATCATCATGATCATAATTTACGGTACTAGTCTTCTTCTTCGTCTTCTTGTACGGCATCCCCCTCGCCTTACCCTGACTCTCCTTCACACTCCTCAAGTAGGCCTTAACAGCCCGGCCCCCAAACGGGTTAGTCTCCGCTGGGCCTCCGTTCTCCTCATAAGCAGCCCTTAGCCGGCCCACCAAAGCATCGAGGCTGCCCCAGGCCTGCCTGAGCGGGCAGGTGCAAGGGGCGGGCGGGGGCTCGGGCTGCCCGTAAAAGATGCAGCCATCCAAGTGGACTTTGGTCTTCCCGAATTGGTCGAGGTACCTGAGGAAGTCGAGCACGTGGTCCTCCGAGCAGCGGAAGGGGCCCACGGGCGGGCGGTGGTTGGTGAGGAACTGGACGAAGGTGTTCCAGTCGCGCCTCTTCTGGGACTCGTACCGGCTGGGAGTGGAAGAAGAAGAAGAAGAAGAGCCTCCTCTCTCGCCCATTGGGATTTTTTTGGTGACTCGTTCGATTAATTTGTGGGGTGCTAAATAAGGCAATGTTAATAAAAGGTATTAGCAATATGGATGGTTAACGTCAAATCAACCCATCATATCCCTCCTGAGATGAGATGGGATGGTCCACAATGCAGTGCAGTGCAGGTGCACTTGTTCATTATTTGTACCAACCACTATCCCTCTCTATATTTTTTGTTACCCTTTTAGTGATATTTCCAACTATTCTTGCCCAATTGCTACTGCTAGCTATATGTGTCGCCCGGTGTGTAAGTATCACATGGAATAACTTTTAGTATCTTAAATGCTCCAAATCTTTCAGGTTATTTTTTATGTACCCAAATCTGATTTATTGCACTCCTAATGGAATCACTAGCTAGGACCACTTGGTGTACTATAAATCAGATGCCAAATGCAAAGGTGCTTATGTGATGAATTTTGTTCCCTCTATTGTACAATGACCAAGGAACAATGTCTCTAACTTAACTTAATCTCTTCCCCTAGACTTGAAATTCTCAAACCACCACGCATTTTTCAACTAAAAAAGATAGACTTAATGTAGTTGTGGGATCATAAAACTTGTAATTGTTAGAATAACACTTGTGAGTTGTCCCACATCGTTTATACAAGGAAAATAGACCCACCTTATAAGTCTAATGAGTCTCTCATCCTTCCATCAATTGGTTTTGGAATGGAACCCCATTTGGGCTTCATATGGATTTTTCCTTGTTTTCCCATGGTGCGCTTTATGATAGCGGGCCTGCACCAGTTTTCCCCCAATTTCTGTCAGTAATAATCTTTTAATCGTTTATAATGTACAACAAAATAATTACTAATTGTCTTTGTGTCCATTTTTTTTCCAGTTAGGTCTATTTGAGGGTTAATCAGTGGAAAATAATTACTAATTGTCTTTGTATCCATTTTCTTCAGTTAGGCCTATTTGAGGGTTAATCAGTGGAGATTCTTGGAAGCAGCAAGCAGTAAGTGGGGGAAGAAGATGGATCTTGGGTGGGGATTGGAATGAGATTTGTGACTCTAGTGAAAAGTCAGGGGGGAGAAGGAGGGCAGATTGGGAGTTTAGAAGTTTTAATGACTTTATTTGTAGGATGGGAATGCAAGAGTTGCAGCTAGTAGGGTATAACTTCACCTGGGGCAACAATAAGGGGGAAGAAGGCTTTCATAGAAGAAAAGATTGATAAGATCTTTGCATCTTTTGGTTGGGGCTCTCCTCACATTATAATGTCAAAGTTGATTGTATCAATAGAAGTTCATCAGATCATAGGTTGTTGTCTTTGAATGACAATCTAGAGCGTAAGGAGCATAGAATTAGGAGGTTTTCCTTTGATAAGAGGTGGCTGAAGAGAGAGGGAGTGAAAGAGGCAGTTCAAGAAGGTTGGAATACAGTTCAGAGTGGCACTCCAATGTTTCAAGTGTCAGAGAAGATTAAAGCCACAACGTTGTTTTTACTTAAATGGAGTGTGGTAATGCAAAACACTCCGACCGGCTGAAAATCGGCTCGCCTTCCTACTCCTCGCCGGTAGAACGCCGTGTACCTGCAAAGAACTCTCACACCGGGGGTTTTTCCGGTGAAGAGCCTCCGATGCTTAAGTCAGTATGTGTTTGTTCAATTTTCTAAAGTAAAGAATGGATAAATCGTAGGTCCTAAGAAAAGACTCACTCCTATATATATATATATGTATATGAGTGAGATACCTGCCCTAGGAGCTGCCCGGATCTTGTGAGTTGTCCTGCCCGCACTGCCCGTCCGTACACACACAGTGTGCGTGTGTTAGAGGTGGTTATCGCCACTATTACTCTACACCAATGCACTCTCACCACGTGTACCTCTGAGCAGAGGGAGATTATTTTCTGCGCATCCCGTTAGGATCTTCTAACGCAGCCCACGCGCTTTCTCGCGTTCAAGCCACGCTCTCGACTGCTCTTCACCTGTTAAGTGCTCGATCTGACCGAGTTCCCCGTTGTTAGGTCGATCCTCGACCAGTTCTGCTATTCTGCTCGATCTTTTCCCTTTTGGTTGATTATCACTTGACCATTACAGTTTTCCCGACCTCGAGCACGCCCGACCAATGTGGTGAACCGGTCTATTCTTTAGGCATATAATATCCCATATCAGAGTGCCTCCTTCAGATTGGACCAAGTTAAGGAAAAGAAGAAAATTACTAAAAAGTTAGAGGTGTTGAGCACTTTGGGAGCTGAAAGAAATTGAGGGGAATGGGAAAGGCTTAAAAGAGATCTTGACAGAGTCACAAAGTCAGAGGAGGAATTTTGTGCACAGAAAGCTAGAGTCCAGTGGCTCAGAGAAGAGGATTCCAATACCAAGTTTTTTCATGCCTTAACCATTCAAAAGAGAAGAATGAATGCAATACCAAGACTAGTGGATAAAGGAAATTATGTATGGAAAAAGAAAGAGGTGCAAAAGCATATCTTTGACTGTTATACAGAAATCCTACAGTTGATTCCAGAGACTATCTCCTCAGCTATGAATGCAAGCCTTGTAGCCCCAAGATTAAACATATTAGTTGAGCTAATACTTTAAATAAAAATATGGGGCGCTACATCTGCCTTTTTTGGATTGCGGGCTTAATTGTCGTTTCGACCTGTGGCCTGTGACAGGCGACCTTCGAGTCTATCCCAATCATGTCCTCATGTGTCTATGCGAACACATCCGCATTTTCTCGGGGAATTAAATGAGCTCGGTTCAGATCGGCTTGAGCAACTTGCTTCTAGTACAGAGCTGTTTCTGGCAGGTCGGCTCATCGATGAAGATGATCTACACTTTGTCCATCTGTTTGGACCGTTTGGTTCCTCGCTGTTGTGATCATTTTTGTTACGTTTTTTGTTGTTATTTTGTTTTTTTCCCCCATTTTAGGTCTTTTAGTTGGTTTTCAGTTCGTTTTATAGTTTATTGCGTATTTTGTTCTATTTTGATATTTTATGTGTTTTTCGTGTATGTAGTCGATTTTCTACGTTTTCTTCTTATTTTTGGTGTGCAGGTCAGAATTCCATGAGGAATAGATTTAGCTCGAAAATGGGCCAAGAAATCATGATTGGATAGATGGGTTCTTTGGCGATATATAGTAAAAAGCGGAACTCAATTTCGAGTCCGTACGAGTCCGAACGGGCCTAATATGCGAAGTCATGTACGGAAGCCACCAACTTCAAGTCAAGAGCTTTGGGAGAATAGGTTTTTGATAATAAGTTGGATTTGAAAGAACAATTGCGTAGAAGACTTCGTTAGCAATGAGTAGGAAAAAACGGAACTCAATCCCGAGTTTGGACGAGCCTAAACGAGCCCGAAACGCAAAGTCATGCAGCCCAGTACCATCTAGCGGAGCTAGGGGTACTAACGGGCTTCTGAAGCTCATTTTTTACCCTAGCGGCGCTAGGGCCCCCTTAACGGCGCTTGGACCTGCTGGACCCCCCCACTCGGATTTTTCCCACATTTTTCTCCATGTTTTGAGCCACCATGCTCTCCTCCATGTTTTTTGCCATTTCCTCCATGTTTTACTCCATGTATGGAGATTACGGTGCCTTAAAATTAGGATGAATATTTGATGAGGAATAGTATAAAAGGGGGCGAAGTGCAAGACTTCAAACCATTCCTTCTTCAAGGGGGTTCTACCCTCTTCTCCTTCTTCTTCTCTTCTCCCCCTTGCTCTCTCCTCTCTTCTCTCCTTCTCATTCTCTTCTTTTCTTCTTCTTCATTTTAAGTTTCTTTTCTTAGTTTTATTTGTGAGTGTAATATTTGGAGAATACAATATTTCTTGCAAACTCGGTTTGACTTGTAAATTGATTTTGATTCTCGACTTGGATTAATAGTAAGTTTTTTTCATTTGATTATGAACATGTAAGCTTGTGTTAAACCTTTTGTTATGGTTGATTTCATCATGAGTAGCTAAATTCATTAGCTAGGGTTAGGGGATAATTGCTCCAGTTTGTTTTCATTTACATAATTGTCGATTACTCAATTCCTTACAAGTTGTGCTTTTTCTTAGATTAAATGCCTAATCATCATGTTGATCTATTTAATCGATTTTGAAGCCGAAAAGGTATAAGTCGGTCGAACGTGGCCTGTTAAGAATAGGATCTCGAATCTTTACAAATTAGATTAAATGCCTACTCACCATGTTAATCTACTTAACTGATTTGAATCCGATAAGAAACTAGTCGGTTGAACTTGGTTTGTTAAAATTAGGATAATTTCAAAAATTATTTTCTACATATTGATTGGTTCGATACTTGCTCATTGTTATTATTCTCTTGAAACGAAAGTGATTGAGAATAGGTCTTTCGACACTCTTATTCGAGTATTTGATGGTAGATAAAAGTATTTAAACTGGAAGCAAATATCCCCGATACCCTAGCATCCCCATCATTATTGAAATCGTATTTCGAGTTGTTACATTTAAATTGTTTTACTTAAGAATCATTAGTTAAAAATCAAAACCAACAAATTGAATTAGAATGTTTAGGAATTTATTTTCTACTTTTGTGTTTTGGACAACTAAGTAGCAAACGAAGCTCCGAACCGTCTTCCTTTGAGAGACGACTCGAGTCCGGATAACTCGGTTACTAAATTATCCACCACAAAATACTGCACTCAAAATGGCGCCGTTGCCGGGAAAGGCAAGTAGGACGCTGAGTTTGCTATTTTAGTTGTCTCTGTTTTCGTGTTTCTCTTACTTTTGTGATATTCGCTTAATTTCAATGTTTCTCTCGATTTTCTTATTTTCCATTTCTCTTTTTTTTTTTTTTTTTTTGAAAATATTGTAAAAAAAAAAAATCTTGGTCTCTTGTGCCTTAGTTGTTTTGCTTTTCTTGTGCGAGGTGTTTCCCTTGAGGACCTCTAATGGACCCGTACGGCTATTCTTATGTCGGAAGCCCGTCTCGTGGACACTCCTACAACTACCAAGAGAAGATGAACTCATATGGAGTCCGTATCCGAGCTATTCATATCTCTATTGCTATGA